AGGAAAAAGTTTATATAGAGCCGAGGCACTAAACAAACAAATTAAAGCCCACCTCAAAAATTTCACTAGAAGAGGTTGTATTGTTATCCAAATATCCTCAAATTGATCATCTTGACATCAAGATGCATGGACATAAAAAAGAGATGGATTTCACATATTGGAAATAGTGCATCTTGCAACGCATTTTTGGACCGTCAATTTTCAAGATTTTCAAGTTTTTATAAATCTGTTTGATTTATACTATTTTTTGAAGCTTTAAATTTTATAATTAAAGATGAAAATATATTTTAAGGCTATCACAAATAGTTTCAGTATTGAAAACACATTTCTCGACACTATTTGAAAGTGCTTTACTTTTATTGTTTAGAGCATCTACTCCATACAAACCGCACCCTTATTTAAATAACCCCTAAATTGACATAAGGCTTTATCCTATGCTACATCCAACAAAGACACTGAATATTCTACTTTTAAATTATAGTTAAAATGTTGATAAACTAAAATATTAATTCGCCCAATATGAGGATATTGATACTTCTGCAACTTAACTTGGACTTTTTCAAGTATGGTAAACACAGTGAACATAAACCTTGATGCAATTTTACTTCTATTTGTCTGATAGATTTTAATAACCCATACAATAAATAGAGAGTTTTAAACAAATCTTCTTTCTTCAAATTTGGAAATCTGATATTGCCATATTTGTTTGCAAATTTTACTTGTTCTAAAACAAAAGAATAAAGATAGAGAGTTTTAGAAGACTGAGATAAAGAATTAGGATTTTGGAAGGAATATATGGATTTTCAGGGTCATCAGAAACAAAAAAATTTGGAATAAAAATTCTGAGGCTAAGGCTGAAGAGTATCCTGGAGAAATCGTTTTAGTTTAAGAGGTAAAACACTCACCAGATTCACTTTCAAGCTTATAAATAAGAATCAGGTTGTTCAATAGAGAATTTAGCTACTGTGTTTCTTCATCTTTGTAGTTATCAAGGTTCTTCCCAAATTCTTTGCTTTTCTTTATCCATCTCTTTTGCATGGTCATTAAATCTTGACAGATATTTTAAATTTTTTTCAGAGGACTCATTATCTTTCTTTTCTTTCTTAGTTATCTATTGTTCCTAGTTTTTGAGAGCTTTCTTTCCTTTTGCACGAACATATTCAAGATCTTCTCCATTATCTCTAACGGGGAAAGGAATTATATATGCTGATAAGTAAATAGCTTGGAATAAGCCATTTCTTTCATGGGCTTCTACATAGGCTAGTTTGTAGACCTTTTCACTTTCATTTTCTCAAAGCCAATGTCCCCATTGCATGATTTCGTCTATTGGAAATGGATTCGTCTTACATTTTGATGAATCTTTAAACTCAGATGATGGATATTCGTTCAAAGATTAATTAGGAACAATATATTTGATCCTATGCTCTAAATAGTCATTAGGCAAACAAAGCCCAATTAAAAATATTCCACTTCTTATAAAGTTTATACCAGTGTAATAACATCTTAATACCAAAAGAGAGGCAAAACAGAGTCAAATGATAGGCTCTTATGCCAATTCAAAAAAAAAAAAAAATCTACGGCTTAGATCTAATAATCCCAACAAATGAATAGTTGTCCAGATTGATTGCATTAATCAACCAAATTGTATGGAGTATTTTTAAATTTTGTGCTTTCAACAATGCTCATCATAATGAATTGAGAGTCTGGTAAAGAATTAGGGTCAAACAAGTGTTGCTTACATGATTTTGAATATATATTTTATTTATATTACTATTAGACAGTTACATGAAATCACTTCCGAAGTATTTATGCTTTTGGGGAAATTTACCAAACTACGAATTAGAAATAAATTATTTAACATTTTACCTGTTTGCAATTATTCCACTTATGATCATGTGTCTTTTGATGGATATTTCAAAATTAAATCAAAAGATTATACAATGTTGAATAATTTATCTCATGTAACAATTATTTTAAATTTTCCTTTTTGTTTGGTAGCGAGAAATAGAAAATCAGATATTCTTATGCATAATGTAGATGCGACATGCCTTGTCAACTCTTTTGTTTTTGGACAAATCCAGCTATTGGTTCCTATTTCTTTTTCTAGAGCTGCAAACCTCAGTCCTGGAACCAACTCACCCCAAATCCGAAATGGAATTGGACCATGCATTACTCATACGGGGTTTCCTATTTACAGAGGACTCGAAGCAAGATGTAACAATCTGATGTGTAACGATGAACAAATCATAAATAAGAAATAATGAAACATTAGGATCCATATGGTCACTGAGCCAGTGAGACATCCGGTCCAGTCAAAACCGATCCAACCATTAGTCTATTCAATTAGTTGGGATTCTTAAAATTAAATATATATATATATATATATATGTGAATAATAGTTTAAAAATATTAAATCTATTACAAAAAAGATTTCATGCATTTGTTTGTCGGCCTAATTGTTCAAAACCGACCTGTAAAATTAGGTGCATGGAAATACATACGCGCGTATTAATGGCGCGTATTAACCGACATACGCGCGTATGTTCCAATATAGAGGTAGACAAATTTCCATTTTAGATTGTCTTGGCATAGATGGTACGACTTCTTCATGAGGAGCACTTGGGTCACTGATTTGCTCTTTCGCATTGATGTAGTCTTCATTGATACATACATGTAGGTGCATCTTCCAGTGAATGACCCTCACTTGATGATGGAATATAGAGTTGGATGTCGATGAGTATCATTTCAAGATTATTCCTTCTCTCTACTCTCTTTTTCTATAGCTCTACTCAACATAGAGGACTCGTCAAAATTCACATCCAAGCTTGTAATTGTTTTCCAGACACTTGGATCCCTTAACCAATATCCTTTTGCACCTATGTTATACCCAACAAAATGTACTTCTTTGATTTTGGTTTATCCTTTGACCACTAAGACTTAAAAACATAAAAATCAAAATAAAAAATTCCTTTAAATTGTAATAATCACAAGTGTTTTGTAAAATAACTCATAGGGTATTTTTCCCCTAAAACTGCTGGAGGTGATAGATTAATGAGATAACAAGCTATTATCACAGCTTTGGCCCAAAGCTCTTGCTCTAATCTGACCTTACTCAATAGGCTTCTAGCATGCTCCACCAAAATGAGATTCAGCTCCGTACCAAAATGAGATTCAGCTCTACAACACTATTTTGTTGGGAAGTGTAGATGGTGTGCCTCTTGATTACCTCCTGACAAAATTTTGCAGAATCATCGAAATTAGACTCTTATCCATTATTTAGAGTGTTTTAATGTGGTGCATCGAAATTCTCATAACAAGGCCCCTAAACGGCTTTTTCCTATTGAATGTTAACAGCATTAAAATGCTTAAAGGCCAACAATGCTTCACTCTTTGGAATAATAGTAAACACACATACTTTCCTTGATAAGTCATCCATGAAAGAAATACAATATGATGCACCACCATAAGATATAGTGCGTGAAGGCCCCCACAAATTCGAATGAATGTAATCAAAGATTCCCTTGCTTGTATAGCTTCCGTCAATAAAGCTTCGTCTATGTTGATTCCCATATATATAACATCTACAAAATTTGGATTCCCCATAATTTATGGCGCGAATTAGATTCCACTTCATCAAAATCTTCATATACTTCTCACTTATGTGGCACAATCTCTTATTCAATAAACCCAGAATTTATGGTGTGAATTAGATTCTACTTCATCAAAAGATCCATATACTTCTCACTTATGTGGCACAATCTCTTATTCAATAAACGTAGTGGAAGATCATTAATCTCCACTTCCAAGTTTGCCATAAAAAACAGAGCTTCTTAACAACTTATACAAGTTCGACTGCGACACCCTTAATCAAAACAAGAGCACCCTTTGAAATTTTGAGAACCATCTTGCTCAGTAAACTTATACCCATGCGACTCCAATAAATAAAGAGAAATCAAAACTTTTTGTCAAGCCTAGCATGCTTTTTGAACATTCTCAAATATGTGAAACACTTCCATCAAACATCCTTAGTTTCACTGAGCCAATCTCAATCATTCTATTACTCAAATTATTTCTCAACATAGACACACTCTAATATCATCATATGAACTAAACCATGACTTACGTATGCACACATGATATGTAACAACACCATCTAATATCCAATTTTGATGGAACTCGGGGTTGCAACCTATTGTATAAATTTTATATTCAATGAAACCAGATGCAGATTCTTCCACTCGATTTACTGTCCTTGGGTTCATTGCTCTCTCTTTCTTTTTTGGATTTTTGTCCTTTCATTTTCATACAATTCCTCTTTAAATGACCGGTTTCACCACATCCCCAATATATAAACTTGTTCTTTTGAGGTTTTCAGACTTAAATTGATCTTCAAACTTCTTGAAGGTTTCCAAGAAGAATTACTTCGTTCACTTGATCAACCATTTGATATATGACCTTCCCACTCTGGTTCTCCAAGAGATGCTCTCTTTTGGAGTTTATGGGCAAGCAATGTGCTACAAACCCGTACTCAAATCAAGTGATTCCTCTTTGGTACAACTTAATGTCACTACTAAATTATCATAAACTTCTAAGTAACACACACAATACCATCACCGCTTTGTCTTCATCCATGAATTTTTTTCTCCAGCACTTTCAAGAGCACAATGCTATTCTTGAAAAATATTCAAATGGTAGAAAACTTTAGTACTCTCTTTTGTCCATCAAAATTTTCCTTATCCGAGTCCTCATAATTTGGTTAAGGTTTCATCTAGAACTCCTTAAGGCAATCCTCCTTGTAATTTGATCTAGGATTGGATCTTGGTTTCCGGAACCAAATCCTCTTAATTTGATTATGAGTTCCAAAGTTATTATTTATCTCTTTCACATGGCCACAGGCCAAAATGGTACAAAAGGATAAAAACGAGGAAACTAACAGTTAACTTGGTTTTGGTTCAGAATCCCATGCGCAATTGCTTGCCAACCCTAAAGAACAAAAAATGTGTGCAAAGAGAACAATCGACTAAAAAAAAATTTAGTGCACGAAGCAATGCGGGCTTTGATTACAACGCTTTCAAAAAGTAAACCACATCTACCAATTCAAAATTCTTGTTCTGAAGTAGAAGAAATCGTAAATCACAAACACAATAAATATTCATCGACTTCAGAACCTTTTGATTTGCGACAGAGGGGATGAAGAACTCAAGCCGCTAGGTTATCGGATTCATATCCTCGGTGCTGAAGAAGAGACAAAGTTACATGGCAAATAATTTAAAATTATCAAATGGAAAACGACTGATATTTCAAATACAACGCAGCCTATAGTGAACATGTAAGAGATGCATGAATGCAGCATACCTCCACCTATGGTTGCTTCCGGAAGACGCTCAATTGAATATTTATGTTGGGTGATATACATGATGGGCACACCAGGAATCTGTTCAGAAATGGAAATATCAGGAATAAAACGCATGAGAGAATGATAAAATAGAAATCACCGAGTTGAAATTGCAAATCACTCTTAGTTACAATAATACCTTGCGAATTCTTCGTTTCAAGTCCCGATCACATGTAGCTACAATGTAACACTTGTGCTGTGATAAATATAGTGTCTCAGAGATATATTTGAAAATAGAAATAAGAGTAATGAAAGTTCGACCAGTATCTAATTTGCTTAGAAATATTGATCTTGGAATAGAGAATGTACCAAGTATTTTCTTATTCACCAGATACAACCATTATTAATCTTCAGCGATCAAGAATGAATAAATGTAGCTTCAATAAAAAAATTTAAGAGATGGGCAGATTAGTAGCATGTTTTCTTTCTTTAATTCACATGTCTGCTGGTATGGGGCCTATGGGCAGACATTTGTTGGAAGTTCTAGCAACAATGCATTTTGACATTTAGGGAAAATGTCAGGTAAGCTTGCATTACAAGTATACTTCTTGGACAACTTCTCCATATTCAAAACTCCCGGCCGACTATCAATGCATATAACAAGTTATCTAACTATTGAAATGGTCATATAGTTTCAATTCCAAAATCTCTTGTGCTATTCAGCATAATTTGGATATGGAGATAGGCAATTGAGCCATACTCAAACAAATCCAATTGTGACCCAACTACAATGTCATATAGATAGGCAAAACAAACAAAGAAAAAGATAGAAGTGAGAGAATACCCAAGTTACTCGTTCGACAATACAGTCATCGGCATAGGTTCCCTTATGGGTGCAAGGCAGTCTTTCGAACCGTGGATCTTTTGCAATCCTATGACAAAAAAATAATAGGTCATGCTCACTCAGTTGTTCAGAAAATAGCAATTAACCAATGCTTTGACATGGGATGCAATGCATGCACACACAATTCACAAATGCAAGCATGAGATAATTTCAACAACACAGAATAAAGGTTGAACAGAATTCTTATTTTACAAAACTATACCTCCACAAAGTCTCACACAAGGCAAAAGAAACGTTTAAAAAGATGGTTTGCGATGATGCAAGATATCTTAATTCTCTAACCATACCTCAGAGCCACACGATACTTCTGTCCCAACTTCTCAAGCTCAGCCATGACACAATCCGTAATACAAGGGGTGCCTTAATAGAGTCAACAAAGATTAAAAAAAAAAAAAATCTCAACATGAAAACAGAAATAGTATACAAACAATATTAGACATGAGACAACAAGAGATATGGTGAACTCACATTTTGCATACAAGCAATCCATCATTCTTTTCTCCAAATCCAGCTGCATAAAATTGGAAAAGATTTTCCAATAAATATAGTCAGCAACATTATTACATGCCTGCTTAAGAGGCCATCTCCATATTGATCTAGAACGGATAAATGCCAGACTTGACTAGGTGCTGCAGTGGCTGAACAACATTATTCCATGAAAAGTACAAAATAAATCAAAATATACTAGCTATCCACCTCATAACCTCGACACAGAAGGACATTAATGACATTATTACTCATCCAGCCAAAGCATTCATGTCTCAACTGATCCAACACAGATGGCATACCACAAGATAAATAGAGATTTTGCTCTACGCTATTGCTAGCTCAGCTCTCTCCGAGACCCTTTTCTTTAGGCTACGGGGAATCTGATTCGCCGCTTTACCCCTTTCTGCTCTCAAATAGTATGGTACTTAAGGTTAGGGTCCTCGAGCACGAATCAAGTGACTTGGTGAACGGTTGTTCTACTGTACAGTGGGTGGGGGCTAGGTATGATATGACCCTTCTTTCCAAGAAGGAGCTCTTTAGGTTGAAGCTCGCTCGTGAGCGGTGAGATATTTCCCCCGCTTCTTCGCTACTGAAAGGGCTCAACTGTTATTAGAAAGTATATAGAATTTCTAAAGTAGTGAATTCTTCATTCATTTCTATATGTCGATGTCGTTCTAGGTGGCCGCGATTCTATGATTCTGATTCTTGAAATGATTCTTGTTCCCAGGCGATTCCTCATCGTTGTGAGTTTTGACTTCATTAGTATAAAGACAAAATAGGATTATGTCTACGCCATGGTTTTATTTTTATGTGTTCCATTTTCCAGTTATATTTTAAAGTAAAGGCTGTCCAGGGTAGCACAACTAAAAATATGAAACCATGCTACCATAAGAAGCATTCGCAGGAAGATTTCTACTCCAATTTCCTATAGAAAGTGCACAACCATCATAGACATTGGACATTATAGACATTGGACATTATGTACTTTGAATAGTTTTTTTTTTATTTTGTTACATCTATTATATTTTGCTTTTGTAGTTGATTCTTTCCTCACATTCACATTATAACATAATAGTAGAGGAGAAATTAAGTCTGAACTTTGAACATCAAAAACACATATGAATACATATTGCATAAGATAAAAAGCAACACACATGGTTAAAGAGAGATATTTTGACATTGAACGGTAGCTAGAATTTCTATACCGTGTAAGAAATAAAAAACTGAAAGATACAATACTTCATATATAGCTTTCAGTACATGATGATGGAAACATTTGCGGAATAAGGGGTTGGAGGCAGCGGGGTGGGGGTGAGAGAGAGAAAAGAAGAAGAAGAAGACGCAAAGGGGAGGGGCTATAATTTGTTCCTTCTTCCGCCCTTTCGGACTGCTGTGAGGAGCTGCCGCCATTTCATGGAGGTCGAAGCAAGATTCCATATTGATTGAAACGCACTTCCAAGAGGAAAGGGGGGGTTGGGGGGGCGGGGCTACAATTTGTTCCTTCTTCCGCCCTTTTGTGCTGCTACGAATAGCTTCCGCCATTTCGTGGAGATCAAAGAAAGATTCCATAATGATTGAATCATACTTCCCTACTCCTATGAAACAATGTGCCATACGTTGTACATTCTAGATTCAAAACCTTAACGAAACGAGATTCATTATATGAGGAATCATGCATCACTCGATGTGGACTCAAGATTCAACCTTTGCTGGAGTCAAGATTCGATATATTTGAAAATGACTTTCCAAAAATAATGGGTTCAAGATTCTAAAGATGCATTGAAACGAGATTCCTAAATTAAGGAATCGAGATTCATTGGTTTCGAGAAACAGTTTTGGCGAAGATTCCTTAACGGAATCGCCAAATCGGATTTCCAAATCAGAATCGCAAGGTCGCAAAGAGATTATGGTAACTATGGTGCATACCCCAGGAGTGCACAAGAGGGAAAACAAAAGTCCATTTGCAATATCCATTTTGGATTGAGAGGCCTAATAACATGACACAAAAGTTTGATAGGCCAGTTGCCTGGAACGCATACATGAAAACCTATGGGTTGAGGAAGGCAAGCCTTCATTGGGTTCAAGGATAAGCTCAATGGAGGTACCACATCACCAATGTAGCATCAAACTTTGCTCTACTGCATGCATGCCAGATAAAGAAGAAAAGGCCTTAAACCCTTACAAGGTTATGTAAAGACAAAACATTGGATGACATCAATATGGCTTTTAGCCCTTTTGGCCTCAAGCATAATACAACTGTAAACCACCATAACTAGTGAAACCAGTTTGATATCAATGTAAATATAAAAGAAATCACAGAAACGCAAAATAAAATTGAAGGATCAAAAGAAACTAGCAATCAACAATGCATAGAAAACAAACTTATGCTAAAATTCGGAATTGTAAAAGGAGCCTAGAGATACGAAAAGGAAGAATTTATTGAGAAGATCTCAGTCAAGCCAACAGTTAGAACTTCATGCCTTACTGGCCCTTGCATCAGTAGTACAGCCACATCTATCTTCTCAAGCCCTATCTATGTTCCTCCTCTGCTTGGTAGAATTAATTTTTCCCTCTCCATATACATGTGCCATCCTCTTGTTAATAGAATGGATATTCTTGAAAAGAAACAGAGAGAAGCCAATCTTGCTTATGAAAAATCAAGTTTCTCAGCGGGTAAGAAGGCTCAGGAAGGTGCATGTGGCTATGCTCCACAAATGAGGTGAGGGCCAACAAGGGGTGAAGCTCTTCATGGCTATTATTGGCTTGCCATCTATCTTACCTTCTTCTCCTTATTCTTTGTTTTCAGTTTTGAATTTTTGCAGAAGTTTGTTTTCTATGTGTGACTGATTGTTGTTTTTATTGATTCATTAATTCTATTTTCTGTTTCTATAATTTCTCCCATATCTATTTCTCGGTAGTATAAAGTGCATGGAAGAAGCCCACTGTCAAGTTTATGTCCTCATTTTTTTCCATAATCACCATCCTTGGATACAACTAATGAATATTTGACATCTTTTTCTCTTAAAATTCACAATCTTAAAGCAAAAACCAGTTTTACAATCCCTTAGTTCACGCCGCTTCATCTAGATTGTAGTCATCGGCTTACTTCCTTCAGTCCACCAATGTTATGTCACTCCCAAATCTGATCTCCTATATTTCTCTTCCTTAAAGGGCATGTGTTTCTCATTTTGTTTATCTTACGCACCCATCAATCAGAGAAAATCATATTCCACATTGAAAGAAACATGGTAATACAGGCTTCAAGATACATGCCTATAGTGTCTCTCGTTGTTAGAACTTTCAAGTGTAAAGCATACTAAAACCTAGCCTAACCCCCCAGTACCTAGTCCAACCACCACCTTACTAACTTAGCCTTCAAGCAAGGGTGTCCAAACATGTTTTTACAGCACAAAGGGAAACTTGGAAGCAGGTGAATGATATTTTTAGCCAAGGGAGATTCCAACATAACTTAGGGGTAACAGGATTGAATCCTGAAATATGGTGCATGGAAGTCCATGTGGGCATGTTAAGGAATGAATTCCAAGCTAGCCAAATTCTCCGTCCTCAAAGAGGGGGTCTAAGGGTGAAGACAGAGAGTTGAGGACCGCAGTTTTTTATTTTGTGAGAGAGAGAGAGAGGGTATGGTGCTTTAAGACAGAACGAGGTAGGATTTTAGGTGTGGGCATTTCTTAGCATTGTGGTATGCTTGGCTTAACGCCTTACGACCATCTTTCAAGGTAGGCTACTGCGTTATATCCAAGTAGGAAAAGCCACAAACCATTGTTTTCTCTAGGTTCTATGTGTAATATCAACTTGCATGCACATTAATATACTCACTGTTTTAAATCAACTTTTATGCTTGACCATTCAAAAGTTGGATGGTCTTTATTCAATATTACATTATTGAATTTTTCATGGACATACACATTATATTTGACTTTGTTTTTTGTTTTTTACACACATGCTAACACAAGTAATGCTTGAATTTTACTTGGCAATTTCTCTTTCACTCATGTAATTCTTTATGTTTTCAAGAAAATAACTAGTATGCTTCTCAATTTGCTACTACATAAATAACACAATTAGTGATTGAATTCACTCAAGAAAATAACTAGTATGCTACATAAATAACACAATTAGTGATTGAATTCACTAGAGCAGCAATTTTTTATGAAAATTACTTAAAATGTGCTAAAATTTCATTTATGAAACTCCAGTTTAGATAAAAAGGGTAGCCTTCTTGAGCGACCTTAGAAAAATTGGAGAAAGAGAAAAATAACGAAACAGAGCCAAAGAAGAAAATCAAAAAGAAACACAGGGATCAATCCATAGGGGTTTCACCATTGCAGAGATAGAAAGAAGAAAACAAAGAGAGAGAGAGAGAGAGAGAGAGAGAGAGAGAGAGAGAGAGAAGTAAGTAAG